CTTTGAGAACTTGCGAGCACACTCTCGTCTACTGGGAGAGACGTGGTGTAGAATAACAGTTTGCCGAGTACTGGGATAAGAGCGAGTCGTATCGCATCAGACCAATCCACCCTTCGTTGAATCAATCCCAAAGTATCGTCTATTGGGTTGCGCGGGAAGCAAACTGCGCCATGCGTATGGAGTGTTGGAAAATGGCATAGTTTTTCAGGCTTGTCCCCGAGTCGAACGTGAATATCGTTGATGATTTCCGCTTCAGATGGACTGTTACTATCGATCCACGAGTCCTTTAGTACCCGAGGGGTTTTGAGAGGATCGAGGACCTCGAAGACTTTCCATACGCGCGTTCCATGAGAGCATACAGCCCATGCACTGGCATCAGAAATGACGGCCAAGGTCTCAAATACCCGCTCGTCTCCATTCTCTTCTCGAACTGTAATTTGATATGTCCTATTCCCCGAAGGAAGCGGTGTTGTATCTGATGGCACTTCAGAATGGGTTGGCGTCGCGTTTACAAGCCTGATGGTTGGGTCAAGACCTAATTCAATTTCGTTCGAGCCCGCCAACGCAAGGAAAATGTATATCAAATAGTCCGGTTCCTGAAGGAAGGATGTCAATACGCGTGTTTTAGAAGAGAGAAATCAATACCTTTAAGAAATCAAAAGGATGTGAAACGGCTACGCCACTCCGGTCGCAGTGCCAAAACCGCATTTGCGTGCCTTCGACCGTCAGACCAGCAATGTGGCGACAGCGAGGGTCTATGGCCATCTTGTGCCTCATGTTCCAAAGCAGCTTGGCGGTGTTCTATAGGGAAGGTAAATACGAAATGGAATGGAGGGTGGTTTTGGAGCTCACGTTTTCGAGGTCGACGGCATCGCTGCCATATTCCAGTTCCATAAACAATACAATGTCGGCGTAGTCCAGCACCTTGCAGTCATTTTCACCAAAGGTCATATTCTTGAGGTACAGATAGCCGTCAGGAGTAGATTTCTCGCATCGTTCTAGTTCGGATTCCCAACCGGTATTGACGACAAGAGGTCCTATGAGGATTTTGTTCTCTTCTAGAACACCACGTGATATAGCCGCTCCCACTATGCTAGTGTGGATGCTCTCCAAGGGCTTGAAGATCGCCAATGGTGGAGCACCGTTGGGATGTGCGGGAGGAGCTGTAGGTAAAACGTTCCAAGCAGACTCTTCGGACACCATTCCATTCGGGAATAATCATTGTTTCACTTGTAAGACGTTGGCGAGATCAGTAGTGGATAAAGTCGAGATAATGAGGAACAAAACACAGAGTTTGGCACTAACTTGATCATC